TCAGTGGCTGGTTCTCGTAATTATTTTAGATTTATTCATAATCAATCTATCAGTCAATCAATCAATTTCCGTTGACGTTTCAAGTTGTTACGACAATCGCCCTGACAGTGGAAGCAGTAAAGACTTGTGAAACGTCGGTCATTTGCTACAAGACGACAGGGTGTAAGACAGTTGTCTTGTGGGAATTTTAGTGTATTTTGATATTGAAATGTTATGTCAGAATTACATCCATTAATTCTCACCGCAGTTTGAAAAGTGTTGGAATATATGTGGCTTAAACGTTTGATCAGGGCTTCTTTCTTAATTATAAAATTAAGCAGGTTTATTATGCTTTAGACAAAACTGCAGTTTTATTCAGAGGCATCACTCGCACGTAGAAGCCAGGCTTACTTTACGGCTAATATATATACACGCCGCTTGCCTAACAAATGTTAGCAGTGGTAGGAATTGTACCAACTTTACCGCTGTAACGAATCCGAAATTAGGAGTTTCTTTGCTCGTTTTGTGTAACTTTAGATATGTAACCGAAATTCTTGGCGCAATATAAAGTTTTTTTAAAGTATATTTTCCTTTCTAGTGACAAGCCAGATTGAGAAGTTTACTGACGTGATTGGAATTGCGCGACGGAACCTAAAACGTTAAGTGCTTTATAAAGACAAAATCAGCACCGACAGGAAGGCGGCAAGACGTTTACGTCACCGGACAATAAAGTCAAAAGAGTGATATGAAAACTGGCAAAAAGCAAAGGACTGAGTGATATTTTTGTGTGTTGTGGTCCGACATTAAGCAAGATGATTATTTTAACCCACTGAAGCCAAAATAAATCTAAATAATATTGAAGAATTTAGTTCATACCTCAAGAAAAGAGTCACTAACGTCACCTAACTTACCCCACCCTAATCCAACGTAATTAAATTTAATTAAATCCGTTACATAGCAGTTGAAGATTGCACATTGTCCTTTGCGCATGGGCAAATAGTCGGCTGGACATGCTCGTGGCCAACCTAATTTTTATGAATTCTACTATTATGTCCATTCTCTGCAGCCATTTCTTTATTCTGTATAATTTTCTTCAACGATGTTTGTTGCTAATTAATAATTGCGTTCTTAACTTCTTGCCACGTGCACATCCTTCTCAGAATACTTACATATTTAATTGCACAGAGTAGAATCCTTCCTGAAAATTTAATAGACTGTCAGTTTTTCAAGAAACTAATTTATAATCTGGTAATTTTGTCGTGACGCTGAACTACATTTTTAATATTTTATTCTCATTATTACCCCGTATATCAAGTCAAAATATTTCTTATCTGATAATTTTATGAAGCCGAGAATTTGAAAAGCTAATAGATAGTCAAGAAATTCATTACAGTGATGCAACAGCCAGGTTTCTCCTCTGAGCCATATGATTCCAGTCGACACTCTGACGCATTTTCTCATAATTAATTTGATTACTACCCTCATATCTACGTCTAGGTCTTCTATGTACTCTCTGCCTTGCAGATTCTGTGACTGAAACGCTCGTGTATTTCTCGTGTATCTGATGTATGCTACGTGCTACGCCCATGTGATTATTCTGGATTGGATCACCCTAAAATATGCAGGGAAGAGTATACGGAGCTCATTATTCAGTTTTTTTCCAAACTACGTTTCTTCTAGCCTCTTTAAAGTATTCACTTCAGCATTTTACTCTTCCTAAAGAGTGAAGAATGAGAAGGAAATAGGAGAGAGATGTAAGTAGCTTCAACAAGAAGTAGCAGTGAAAAGAGTCGAGCAGATTGACGAATTCAATAAATCTGTTTTGAAGAGATGTGGGTAGTCTGCTGTACTAATAGCAAGCCTCTACCTCACAGTGTGTTAAGTGGCCACAATACAAACGTAAAATACAACTCTGTAAGTAAAACACTAATCATCTTCCACACGTTCCGTGGATTTTCGTCTCAAACAAAAAGCCACATGTGTGTTTTGTGCAGAAGCCATGCTGTTCTTCCTTGTACTTAAATGACCCAAAAAAGCATATAATTAAAAATATATAAGTTGATATTGTTGCGTCATATTGTGATGATTATAATTGTTTATTTTAACCGTCTAATCACAATAAAATATTTTATTAAATATTAAAATATTATTACTATAATTAACATTTAATATTTAAAATATTTAAAATATATTAAAATGATGCTCTTTCTATCGAAATGTTCGATTTACAATCAGAGCATCATCATTTTCACGACATGTTTCGGTTTTCAATGAACCATCTTCAGGTGTATAATCGATATAAATTTAAATGTAATATTCTAAATGCAATCCTTCGTCAGATGTCTATTAAATATCGGAAAGTTATCCTCTTCTAGATCAATTGTACTTTGTTATCACATTCAATGTTGTTTCGTAAATGTATGTCGCGTATAGCGTGATCTTGCGTGGGTCAAATATATAATTTGAACATTGTTTGTTGATTCGCTGCGACGTTTCTTGCTAGTTCATTATTTCATTATTCATTGCATACAGTTTTACAAATCCTGACTATTAGTTCAAAATATATCGCAGGTAAAATAGAACGAGAGCTTTCATTGGTTTAAAGACTGTTCTGTCTTCCGGAACCAGAAAGAAGGGAAATTAAATAAAGGGCCGAATGTAACATAAATTGCAAATGTAATCAAATATGAGGGGTGAGCAAACCTTAAAAAAGAGAGCGGATAGCTAAAGGCATACCTGTTGTGAATTTCATTTATTAAGACGTTGGTCGTGACATTTGTTGGTAACCTGGGTGACGTGGCTTTCAAAAGGGTTGATGTAAAATGGCATACGTACATGAACATAGATTCGAATTACATAAAGTACAATGATTAAAAAGTGTTTTCTTTCTTTTATCACAAAACAGCTCACACTTCAGGAGTTTGATACTGTGTTCGGATGAGGAATTCTTGGGGTAGAATTTTTATATAATCTGCAATGTTATTGGAGCGTGTGTCAGACATTCTGGCAGAAATGGGTTCGCAGTACCTACCTCAGACTAAATTATTAATGATTTTAATCATGATAGGAAAGGATCTTGTTGGATTTTTATTAACAAAGTAATGAATTTTCGGGTTTCATAAAAGGTGGTAAATTACATGCCTAGCTGAGTAATAGTTGGTTTCCCAAAGACTCTGTTCTATTGAGTTAGTTACTAAAGTTTAAAACTTTTTTCATAAACATTCCCTTGTAAAGGTCGTTATATCGTCTGCCTTGGTTTCCAACTTATTCTTGCCCTTACACATTTTTCGACTAAACTTTTGCATGCATTTTTCATGTCTCCCATTCGTGCTACATGCGTCGTCGGTCTCGCATTCCTTGATTTAATCAGATAATATTATTTTAGCTGTTTTTGTTTAACAAATGCTGGGCAAAACTAATTTAGATATTTCTTCCCTCATAACCGAGGGGTAAGGATTGAATTCAGAATAAAGGCGGGATGATGAAATTCGTAGGTCAGTTTTCATATTTTGAGATGATTTCGGCGATATCGATGGGGATAATATGTGCAGGGGATGATGAAATTCGTAGGTCAGTTTTTATATTTTGAGATGATTTCGGCTATATCGATGGGGATAATATGTGCACTGCAAAGGCAAACCTCCGAAATACTTGGGGGAACTGGTATTGATTTCAGCAGAAGTCCATGACGTCACTTCTCGACGACAGGAGAAAAGAGGAATGTTATTTGCCGTGTAGACTGGATGCTTTTAACAAAATATGAACAGTGAAAACGGATTCATATTAAAATATGGAACTTGTCCAGCTTGATAACATTCATATTAACATAAATTTCTTCTGTATTTTATTAGAGTTCTGGAACTTCCAGAAAGAGTCGCAACTGACTTTGTGTATGAACTTACTCTAAAGCAACCCCCAGACACTTCGTCACCATTTAATAGCATTTACAGGATTGACGTCAAACGCATGAGGGATTTTTGTTCTAAAATTTGAAGAGAAGAGAATGTTATGGGAATTTAAGCACAGTTGGGAGGATAATATTATAATTGATTAAAAGCTTAACAGAAGCGTGTGGATTGAATTGGCACTGTATAGTTCACCAATGGCGGTCTTGTTACCACCGTAATAAATCTTCCGTTTCCATAAGATATAAGTAATTTCTTGACAAATTCAGGGACTGTTATTTCTCAAGAAGGCTGTGCTTTATTTAATTAGTTAATTAGATTTTATATTCTGCCAATAAAATTTTCCTTAATGAAAGAACTGTTTTATTAATAGGAAATCTGGTATGAAATTCTGCTTTCTTGACGTAAATAATTACAATGTTACGTAAGAGTTAAAAGGTGTTCAAAATAATTTGTACCAGGCGTCCGGTTTCTGTGGCGTTAACGACATTGTTATGAAACCCTCAGTTTCAGTAGGAAGAGCTCGGATGAAGCGTACATTTTGAAACACGATCCGTTTTTGTTTTAAATTTTCCATCCATTACAAAATACGAACCCAATTCTTGAATGGAATGCTGTTTTCCACAAAATTAGATTCACGGAAGAGAAAAACAACGCGGCTGATTGCCCGAGAAGATTTTATCGATTGTACTCGCCTCGAAAGTCTCAAATCCTATAAGTACTTCAGCTCTAATGAATTCTTCGTGTTTCGCCTTGCAGATCTGTTGTAGTTTTGGTTGTATTGGTTCTAGGTTTAGAATTCGATTTTTAAGTGAGTGCTGAGATGTTAAAGTTGCTAATCAATCATCTTAATCTATATTTTATGTGTCATCAGAATACCTCATGTTGCTCATACTTTTCTGTTAAAGTTAATTAACTTATGATGTCTGGTTTCCATCGGTAAAAATGCAGTTTACGTACTTAGCATACCTACCCCATTGATTTAAAGGATTTAATATTACTATGATAGCAATTCTGGTTACCAGCATTTTAAAATGACGTCTGTGACTTATGATGTCACGGAAATTATCGAATTGAAACCGGACTTTCACGAATGCATGCAGAAGGTCACTGAAATGAGTCATGTTTATTCGTGCAAGAGTGATAGACGTGGAACTTGTTTGAAGATGTCTTTATTTGGTTGAAATTCACGGTGCGATGTTAATACAAAGTGTTATATTATATTCGTTATGGTTTAGTATGCTCTGTGAAGTATGATAAATCTCCAAATATAACTTCGATCGTGTTACTATGGTACAGACATCGGACAAAGCACATGTTGCTGTACGCCAGGGACGACACGTGGAGGTCAGTTGTTACGCATGTAGGTAAAATGGAGCAAGGCATTATGCCTTGACATTATCAGTGTTTTTAATCTGTGTCCTTTACCACAAAAATATGTGTAAACACAATTAATTCTGACTCAAGTAATTATTAAAGCCTCAAGACTTCCTTTATTTTCTAACAGTGATGATTGAATTATGTGTAGATTTTATGGTTAACTTTCACATCACGGTCGTCGTTTAATTAAAATTTTATTTCTTGTTTTTATTATTACCATTAACAATGGTAAATTATAATAACCCACCTAATAGTTATAATTGAAGTGAGTTATATTAATAGATAGTAGGTTCAGTGCAGATAGCCTAATATTCATTAAAAGTTTAAACATGACGTCACTTGAATGACGGCAGGACATAAGAATTAGAAAGAAAATAAAGAAAGTTGTTGAATCGAATGACCTGTTTCAGAGAGATAACCTGCACAAAATTTAAATCATAATGCCATGAAGCGAATTATGATTGCCCGGCTGTGAGGTTTGGTTCCACAGTGAATAACATTCAGGGCCAATTAAGTATGTAAACTTTACATAAAATATTTGACTGCATCTTTTCACTGTGTTTTGTATTTAGCGTCACGTAAGCTGTGCGCAGTTTGGAATAAAGAGAAAACCAGTTTCTCAGATTGAAGTGACTTCATCAAATCCTATTCTGGCCACGGTATTATAACACGGGGGTAGAGTACGTCGTTGAGTTAAATAACAGAGCGCCTGAAGCAGTAGCTAGAAAGTTAGATGATATTCCACCGCGTATCCTCTCCTGGCCTCCAGAAAACAATATCAGGAAAGCTTGCTGGAAAAGTTAATCCTATCGCTCCTGAATGTGAAACAACTTCAAGTTGCAGCTTTCCTTTCCCACTTTTTATGATAACTTTGTATGATACATAATCTATACATTAATCCGTTAAACTTTTTAAATAAGAGAATGGGCCGAAAGTAAATGTGTCTGGATGGAATCTGATGGGTAACGTCATAATCTGGAATGTATACAGTGGTAGAATTAAGGAAAATATATGTTTTGATGATTTTAAAAAAATACTTCAATAATAATTTTCATTTGAATGCCTTTCTGCTACAACCGGATTTTATATTATTTGTTACAGTGAACTGAAGCAAAATTTTGTAATTAGCTTGTGTAGAAACTGATACTTTGGAGTACCTAACGTGAATTATAACGAAGTTTGGTCTAAATAATACGACCAAAATTTTAATAAACAATTTACATTTTTTAATAATTTTTCTGTCTCAATTTTGTGCATGCAGGTGGTCACTTTTCAGGACGTTACTCCAACAAAATTGTATGAGTGTTTCTTGTTTCTATCCGAATTACAATTCCAGCCTGTTAATTTAAAACTTGACAAGACTCAGACTGTATTTCTTGTTGTTTTAGGTTTATGTAATGTTTCATGTCGAAATCAATTATATCTTTAGCGATCTGACATGAGCAGTCTTGGTCTTGAAAGGAAATAAGACAGTTTATAAAACCGTTACCTGTCCATTAGTGCAGCAGTCATTCTCAAAGATTTATAGACATCTTATTTCACAGAAAAAGACTTGCAAGCATTCTGTAGTGAAATGAATGCGTTGTAAATCCCGTGCCCAGTGAGTTTATTCCAGAAACTGCGTCATCATTATTGTGGATGTTGCGATTTCTTCAGTCGTAAGAAAACTGTCTCGCATGTATACACAGCTGTCACTCGGTGGCTTCTCTTCTCTGAAAATGACCGATATTCGTAAAGAATTCATACGTACGAAAGAAACTTAACATTTAAAGTTATCTCAGTTCTTACAAATGTATTATTAAAATTACATTTGTAGCGCAGAATAAAAAATCTTAACTCACATTTGTATTTTAATTTATTAATGGAAATTTTTTCGACTTTTAAGACATTATAAACCCATTTTTAGGACAGGTTTAGATTTACTGTACTTCACGAATTAACTAACTCTAAGGTTTATACATAGTCATTCTTAAATAAATAATAGGCTACTGACTATGGTTCAATAAATTCCGTGTTACTGTAGAAGCGAAAGATTTATTACCATGTTTGCCAAAAGTCGCCACTGAGTCGTTACACGAAACTGTATAGTCTTCAACCTCAATCCACAAACATCCGTTTTAATAATATTTTTCCACCTTCGCCTAAGTGTCCGCAGCGGTCTCTTCGCTAGAGGTTTTCCGACTGTTCTTTTGGAATTTCTTTCTCATCTTCCCTGTGCCTGCTTCAGTTTATATTCAGCCATTTCAACTTTACAAATTACAAATTATAAAACTTCTCATTAGTTAACTTTCTCTCCATTTTCTTGTTCGTTCCTCGTCCTTCCGTCCAAATTTATTTTCTTCAACTCTTTGTCCTCATACACCGTCAATTTATATGCCTCCGGTATGCCGAGAGACAAAGTTACCCACTCGTACCGGAAGAATTAGTTGCAGCAGGGCCTATCTTCTGTGAGTAATCACTGCGTAAATTCCAGTGTTTTCTAGTCCTAACAGCACAGGGTATGCATGTCGTAGCTCGGATTCCATAAGACGCTGATAATGCGCTGATTAACTAAGCGACTATTAATTTTTCAAGGAATTCGCTCTATGGAGTTAGTCAGCGCAGTTTACCAAGTACATTTAAAATTAAATTTTCCCTTTCTACGTGAAACACGATTAGACATACCTAGCCTTCAGCTAGCTACTAAAATTGTGTTATTTCCTGTCTGTTGAAATATGCTGATCTGCAACATTGCGTGGGAAATGTTTACGTAGTATTGGGAGTGTATGCCTAGAGGGGATTCAATTAAAAAAGTTAACACATGACATGAGGAACGCAGTTTTAGGTGGAGAGAAATCCCACACAACAATTCGATTTTGTTACTGACAGTGAGTAAAATGTGTGTATGTGGTATAATATTTCATATAGCTACATTTCACGATGTTTGTGGGTGTTGGGACAATGACATTCACTTGTCGTGTCCTTCCACGGCCCACTTTGTTTCATGAAATGAATGCAGCTCAAGTAATTGCAAGGTAGGCTACGTATGTGTGAGACACAGATCGTCGTCATCTGGCGTTGCGAGAAGGGAAGTCTCGCTGTGGAATCAAATTTTCGCGTTTTATTAGCCAGCCTCCCACACACATGTGAACTAGAACGCACATGTTCACAGGAGAATTGAGTACGAGATGCAGTGAATTAACAGTATCTGAAACTTCTTGCTATCAAAATCAACAGTGGTATGCAAGTTAAGTAACTACATAGACTGAAGACGTAAATCTTTGATATGAGTGAATCCTTATGCATTTTTAGTGTCTTTAATTATACACCGGACCGAAACATTTTTCAAAAACATACAACATTATACCAGTATTACTTTGTATACTTCCCTCTTCCTGAAGTAAAACACGACGTTTAGGGAATTGTCTCTATTTCCGTCTTCAGGCGATTTGTTGTAAAAATACTTGCAGACATATTTATTTGTGTTTCAAATTAGTGGTGACTTCTCGGAACTACCACAGGACCTACTTAATAATAGTAATTGAAAATTCAATTTGTCATATTCGGGGCTGTGATACGTTGTTAAATTGTATATGATTAATATATTTCGGTTGCACCTGTCGCCTTCATCTGCATGATATATAAAGGAGCCAACAGAGTATTTCGAAACGTTAAACGCCAATGAGTCTGTTAGCTGTCCCAGTTTACGACAATCTGCAAGTAATTTACTGTCCATCGACAGGATGATCCGAAATCTATTAGATTTGTATTTCTTCAGTTTTATTATTCAAATGGCTACTAACAGTCAAGATTCCTGCCTTCTGGGTTGTTACACCGTGTAGTCTGATAGATGCTGACCGATGTTTCAGAGAAATTTACTGCCTGCATCTATTAACATCTTCTGAAACGTCGGTCGGTTTATATCAGACTGCACACTGAAACTCCCGGAAGACAGTCATCTTCATAATCGCCTGCTAACAATAACGTTCTTGAAGCCGACTAGCCATGTAAGTAACACATTTTCCTCATGGCTGTGTTGGTTTAACTGCACAACTATCTTTCACGCAAAAATGTTAACAAAGACTTTGTAGCTTGGAGTTCCTGGTTTTACTCAAGTTATAAACGTACTTCCGAGCATTGAGTTGCTTTATAGTGATAGTTCTGTTCGGTTCTAGTCACACGAGGTGAGTTACTTCTAATTTATTAGTGACAAGCCCATCAAAATGATTAATAGTTACTGGTACTATAAGATTTACACGAAATGTTTAAAAAAAAATTCGACTGAAAATTACTGCCTTCAGACATTCATTTCCTTGTTCTGTTGTGTTAAGAAATGCAAGGGGAATGGTGGGAGGTTTACTTTGACACAATTTATATTTACATTTAGGTTTTAAGTTCAATTGATCGAGATACTAATGGTATTCTCTGTGTACGGGAGAATTATACTGAAATCATCGTCGGGAAATAGAATGTGATGGTATGGACTGGATCAGGATAGCGATGTTTGGCGGGCTGTTGTGAACACAGTAATTAAGCCTGCGGGTAGGATAAAAGGTGAATAATTTATTGTCTAGCTGAGCGACTGTTAGCCTCTTGAGAAGGATTCTGCTCAATGTCGTTGGAAAATAAAGCTTAAAGATCGTTTCAGAATATTTATTTGCGTTCTCTGTTAGCTTTAAATGAATGCTTTCACCCGTTATTGAATGCCAAAAGAATATTTGAATAGTGTTTTAGGAAATCGTGCGTCATGTATACCGCAGTTTACAGCAGAAAGGAGCAATTGTTTTAGTAGTTATTTAAGGGGCCAGTGGGCACGTATTCAACTAAACGTACCCAGAGTCTGTTATTTGCAATGCCTTACATTCGACCCACATTTTATTGTTAAAGGAAACTTACACGTGTGCGCGTGTATGTCTTCTGTTTTCAACACACTTTTGTAACCTTTTTGTATTTGATATCTTTAAAATGTACCTTCATATTGACGTATG